TATAAATATAAAGGTTTTTTTTTTTTTTAAATTGATAATATTCGAACAAAGTTTTGAAATAAGTAATATAACATGACTGAAATAAGAGAAAACGGAAAAAAAGTTTTTAACAGCAAATAAAAACGCTTGTTAAATATTTAAACGAAAATTCGATGTATACCGTTTTAATTATTTACGTATAAATCGTAATAATATTAATGTATTTTTTTTTTTTCTTTATCCGCGTATAGATAGACGTATTGTTCTCTCGAATTCGTTTTTGTATAATACATTTTACGCTTAATTAATACTCGTAAATTATAAAACGTTCGGGAAATATGAAAATTATACTTAAATAATCTAAATTGTAATACATCTTCGGCCCATAATTATACATGCATATACACTGTACATATTATGTATTATGCGAGTACAATATCTAATTTGTATTTTATCAGAAACACTGCACAGACTACATGTATAATATATAATATGGATACCTATAATATTATAATATGCGCTATCATCGTCGTGAAAGTATAATATATTGTATGATACTCGTGGAAAATAATATGCGCTTTGGGTCAAGCATCGTCTATTTAAGTTGTGCAAATATTTGCTTTTTTGGGTCATTTTTTTTTTGTTCCCCTTTCGAGTATCCCATTGCCGTTTTCAATTTTCTGACTGTTTACATAATATATACGAGTATAATAGTGTGCTCGGCAAACTGCACAGTCATATTATTATAATATATATAATATAGGTACCTATACCTATAAGAGGGTTTCGGACGTCTTGACCGCGCGGCGCAAACCAATATCGTTTAAACATTAATTTTGCATATTTATCGTTTTTTAATTACAAATAAGGCGCGGGCATCGATTATTGTATTGGCTGTTGTTATCCTATACGTTTCTTAAAAACTATTAGCGGTTTAGGAGGTCATTCGTTCGGGCGAATAACCAAAAATTTACCTATAGAAATCATACATCATTTGGGCGAATTTATCATTGTACGATTTAGATTTGTTGCAAGTAAATATTTAGTGTACACCAACTTTTATGAAATATTTATTATATATTATAACATCGTCTCGACCGATAGGTTATCTGTTTTTACGTTCCGACTACATCTTATCTAATCAAATAATAAATTATAATTTATAGCATTTACCTATTTAGATTATAAATTCACTATGGGTAATCGATATACGTAAGAATATAGAATAGTTACAATATTTATTATTTAGTCTTTGTGCCATTTCTGTCGGGCAGTACCTATATAATTTAAGAAAATTCGAGAGAATTTTTCGAGAAAATTGAAATAAACCAATTTGTATTTTTTTTTGTGTCATTTTGTGTCAATTTGTAAAATTGTACTTATTGCATTATATGTATTCAAATGTATTATAATAATTTTTACTTGAAAAAAATATAATATGCTAATGCTTAAATACCTAAACTGACGGGGAGCTTTAACGTGAGACAGTGGGCCTAAATATTGAAAATCCAATATTTCAGACTTCAAACACTGTGTATAATATAAGCTCGCCCGAATGATGTATCAGACATTTTAAAGGGTCGTGTAAATTTCGCCCCAAAACGATGTGTATAATATTCGCCCAAACCATATGTGATTTTGGGTCGATTCGCCCAAATAAAAACCGTCCGCGGTTTACGTAGACCACGATAGTAAAAATGGAAGAACGAGCTGCTACGGAGTTTTTGTTTCGTATTGAAATCGAGCCGATGCGCAATAGTGAATATCGACGGAGTTTTTAAACGGTTTGTTTGCGCCGGTGTATTCGGGAAAGTCGATCATAATAAATATAATAATATATGAGGGGCACAGAAAAAACCAGAAAAGTAACTTTTTTTTCCAAAATGGTGATATCGATATCAAATAATTTGTATTGACGTGCCGGGTCTTTTATGCAATCGAAACGACCAAACTACCAGATTATTCGGAATTAATGAATGCCAGAAGCTTACAGGATAAAAAATACATATAGTTAATTTATAACCAGGTAAGTTTTTGGTTAATACATGGCTATGGTTAATAATATAGTATGACATTATTAGGTTGCGATTACTAAATTTCATTACTAACATTAGCCTAATCCAAACTTTTTACTTTGTAAAAAAAAAATTGTTACATTTATATTAAAAATACGTTTTTCTTAGTTTGAAAAAAATGACTTTTCTGATTTTTTGCGTGTGTCACACTATAATATCAAATATGCTTGATCGATGGGCTTTCTCCGTATATGTCACAAATAGTGACCGGTTCCTATTGTTGATAAGGTATAGCAAAGTTATAAAGTATAGATATTTTAATTGCGCGTATGTCTTTCGAGTAGATTGCTTCACCACTTCTTTTAATGTCTGCATGATGTTACAACACCGAATTGAATATGATGACCCGGCCGTTGCTCCAATAATCGATTAGAATAATACACACACGCACACACACACACACACACACACACACAATATAAAACAACTATAATAGATAGCCGATTGTAGTTATTATTCTCTAATACGAACCGTGAAGCGTGTCAGCCATATTGCAACAAGGTAATAAGGTTTAGGTAGGTATATACATATAGTTTCGTGATAACTCGAAAATATCTGTGAATGATAACGATAGTGACAACAATATGAATATGAATAATATGCGTATAACGCGTGGACCGTAAGCATTATAATTTCTAGTCGTCAAGTCCATGGACACTTGTATAATTTTCTGCATAGTGAATAGTAAAAGTGAATATTACTCTGTCCTTGCCGACCAAATTATAGCTAATTCACGCAGATGTTATACAAGTCGCGAGTGCCTAATTTGTAAAAAAAAAAAAACAAAAATAGTCGGCTGGATACGAAGAGGAACGCGTCTACGACCGAATAACACGTGTAACCGTTATCTCTAAAGAAAATCCGAATGAATGATATCAGAGATCACGCTGTGTAAACGTTTGTCCTGTTTGTCCTTTAATGGCAGCCAAGCCGGCTAGAAACGAAATCGGAGTCGGTTGTCTAGTCGTTTTATATTCTATATATCCGTGGAATATTATTAAATTTAATATCGTTACATCCGCACATGATATATGTATGTATGTATGTATGTATATATACCTACTATAATGCGTACACAGAGACGAGTACACCGCACCCAAATATCATGACGTATTCCGTGTATTACATTATATATTTACACACAGCCGTCGCGTCGGTGACATATACGTACGTGTATATGTATACATATATATATATATATATACAATTTTTTTATTTTTTTTTTTTTTTTTTTTTTTTTTTTTATTGACCTTTTAAAATTATTATACTTTTCCATCATCGTACACGTCCCCCGCCGAAACTAGAACGAGTATAAGTAGAAGTAATTTGTCAGAGAATCCCATTGCGATAAGATCTCGTGATGTCCGCGAATACTCTGGTATATATATATATATATATATATATATATGTGTGGGTGTATATATTGTTAAAACAGGACTGTCATTCAAACAGAAATCTCGAAAACGTGTCTTCGGAAAGAAGAATGGAAATCGATAAAAATCATATATAATATAATATAGTGGCGCCATACGAACTAGACACTTGGCCGACGACGAGCGTATAGGGATTAGACGACAATCGAGCGGTATCCCGGATAACAGACAAATATTTTCGACCAGAGTATTATAATAAAATATTGTTTTGAAAGCGATAAACCGAAATCCGATGAAAAATATGAAAAAAAAAAAAAAATGTACTTTTTTTTATTATGGATGGCGTATAGAGTTTTTAGAAAAATGATAAGGGAATTATTGATGCGACCCGTAGCGACGCAATGGCCGAAGTGAGGAAACCCGACGTATCAAAATCCGATACTGCTCCAAAAATGTTCAAATAATTTGTTGGTGTTCTAAATGTAATCAGCTAAAACCTAAAGCCGTTTTGTCGTTGAAAACCCACGTCAAGTAAAAATAGAGGAGACGGAAAATCAAAAATTCCACGTCGGGCAAGTGACATTTTGAAGTAAAAGAAAAGTCGAGTGGTGTATTACCAAAACCGATCGTAATATAACCGTATTACGATAATATTGTAGGACGAGGACGGACGACAACAGTGATATATTGTGCCTGGCCCTTTGCCGTTTTCCCGACAACTCTCTGTTTAATTATAATAATTTTATTATTATACAGTAGTCGTTGTTTCGGTGACAGTGCCTGAGAAAATGCAATCCGTTTGGCGATAACCGCGACAACAGTGTGTACGAATAATAGTGGCGATTGCAACTTCGACATACAGAGTTATTGTTTTATTCTGCAATATAACAAATTGTATATTGACGACGATTTTGAGTAGTTTTGGATTTGTTTTCTAAACGGTCGTTTTTAAAACGTGTCCGGAATTTATAGATATTCGATGTTTTGGAAGACGTCACGTTTGTACATGTATATGTACACAGGTAGATAGGTATATAATAAGACGTAACGAATTATTCACGGCATTGATTTTTCTGAAAACTGAAACAAAATCCCGGTAGACCTCGAACGGTCGCACGGGTTATTTAATATGATTTTTCGAATATAATTTCTAAACGCTGCAGTATACTAATTATCGGCATTGGTTACGCGGTATGGGTATCTACAGCTCGTCATTGGCCAGTCCTTGGAGTGATTACACACACACACACACACACAGTAATAATAACAATATCATAAATCATAAACTATTTAAAATAATACAATTTTTTTTTTTTTTATATATACATAATCAATTAAAATCAAATTCGATACATAAAAATTCCTACACGCCTATAACACGCATACGTTTGGATTTTCCACGGTTGTACCCGATTGTCGCTGAAAAATCGCCGCCGTAAAGTGCATAATAAGACGAAACGTAATATTTTTGTTCCAACGTAAGTAAACATACACTACGATATAGGATTCTTATCGGTGAAAATCGAATGCCTTCCTTTACCTTATCCTTTATCCTTTAAAAAAAAATAAAAAATATATATACATGAACACAAGACAGTCACTATTTAAAATATAATATAATATTATTGAGCATCTGCTGTAAAAAAAAGAATGTGAAAAAAAAAACAAACAAAAAAGGTAAAGAAAAGAAGGGAATCATTGACACTACGTTATATAACTTATATTATTATTATGACATACAAATACTAGGTAACAAATATAAGAATTATAGTGTAATAATTAATATTATTACATTAATTTATACTTAATACTATTAATATTATTTTCTTAATAATTTAAACTTTTTTTTTTTTTTTGCATTTTGCTCTAGACGATTTGTCTCATATCAAAACATTAGGTCAATTATAGTAATAATAATTATTAAGCAAAAGGTTATATTTTATAGTTATAAATCGACAGTTACACACCAATGTTCTGATGATGAATCAGTACGTTTTTCTTACGTCACCCATGCCCGGTCCGTTTCACACATTTCTCCGTTGTATCTTCTACAACTAGGCCTATACTTCTATAACTAGGCTTAGGCACTTCTAGCATTTGCATATTTTTTTTTTCGGATTATGTAAAATGTAGCAGAGTCAAATAGAAATACTGTTAATGTTGTATAGAATCTAAATCCAACATTTGATAGCTCATTTTTTTTTCTCGTTAAAACAAATGTACGCATAACGCAACTTTTAAGTGCTACAACAGGCCATTTATGAAGGCGTCTATAAAGACGATTTACCGATCGTGCTTATCGCTGATGTACTGCCGAATAATGTATAGTGTTTCCCTCGATAAGGCCTGATTTCGCCGTCAGTCAGATAAAATGATCAATTAGATCAATAGTTTTTATAGACCACGTTCCCTAATTTTCTAAAATTGTTGCGTAAGTCGATCGCTAATGAATGAATAATAATAATGTAATCCGTTAATTCGTCAATAAACAATAATTTTAATAAACGAGTTATGCATCAATAAATTGTTTAGTTGAATAAAAAAATAACGTTTTAAGTGTATTTTAGTGCGTATTTGGTTCTATTTTTGAAATAAATACGTATGATTTTTAGAGCTAAAAGTCCCTAAGCCTGCTTATAACTTTCTCACGATTTCCTATTTCTCTCGTTTTTTTCTCGCGACGAACATCAACGGCTCCTCCTTAAAACGCGTTTCCCGTCTTACGATACATTCGCAGAGGCACGGCACTATGTTCATACGCGTTTTGCCAATTGCCCGAGCCATACTGTTGAGCGTTACGATATTACACGATGTGAACGCATTACTTTAAACACCTCTTGAGCGCGTCGCCGGACCGCATATCGCGCGACTGAGACGATGACACGGTACATAAAAATTAAAAAAAAAAAAAAAAACAACCTCATACTATACCCGACACGGCACGTAAAGATTTCACCATAATAATAATAATAATAATGATAATAATAATATTCTCCCCCACAACGATCTCCCGCGGCGCGACGCGTATTATATCGCGTCCGTGCCCGGCGGACCATTATAATAATATTGTGTTACGCGCTAGAGATCGACCCGATCGGTCCGCCGTCGGTGTCCCGCCGGCGCGGCAGGTAAAACGTACACATTACAACGTGCGCGGTGTTGTCGTGCCGTGTGCCGTGCGCGCCGTACGCGTCCGCCGGCCGGCGGAGCGTATTCGATGTGCGCAACACGGACGTTGTCGCGCCGCGGGCGAGGATTTCGCCCGCGGCCTCGTCTGCAGCACACGCGCCGGCTCGGGGTCGCGTCGTCATCGCGTGCGCGCCGCACGCGCAAACGACGCATCCCGCGGGACACGCGTCGCGCTCGCGATAAATTAGGCGGCGTTTTCCCGGCGTTCCTCCGCGACACGGTCCGCGGACAGTTACGGCCGCTATGACGGCTGTCTACGGTTTCGCCCGCAATAACAATATTCGTTAACGACACCCTCGGGGGTTCGGAAAAAAATGTACGGACGGCACCGTCGTCGGCACAACACGTTTTCTTCTCCCCGGAACGCGCTGATTTATCGAAAAATTATAAAGCCGGCGCTCGGGTCGGCGAATACGGACGGGGACATCAATCTTCGGCCGGAGCCGCGTATAGATTACGGACGGTTCTCGCGGCGACGCGGCCCCGCAAAACGCCCGTTCCGCCGAACAACGTTCAACGATCGGACCGAACGGAAACGGACGAGCTCACCGGCCGCAGTGTAGAAACACGCGGCTTTAGCTCGCGCCGAGAAATACGTCGACCCGTCCGTATTGACGATTGCACGCATAATCTACGTTTTCCGGATTATTCCGTTTCAACCGGATGCTCGGATCCAATCCGTTCGTTTGTCTGTAATTAAAAAAAAAAAAAGTATCGATACCTCCAATCGCGCAATCTCGCGGGACAGTTTAACTGATGTTATGGAAAATCGCCGTTAGAAAAATAAAACTAAAGAATTACACTAAAATTATTTATAATACCGGAATCCGGATTAATATTCATAATCAGGATTGATATACGAGAACGGTCCGGATTTGGCGTTTTAGATTATTTTTTATCATCACGCAAAAATACACTCTTCGCGTATACGTAAACATTAAAGCAATCGACACGGCTTATTATGACCGGGGACCGTGTGACGACAAACGTCGCACCGCTATAGCAATAGCTTCGGAATTTTGAAAAAATTCTGTGCTTAACTCAGGGACGTAGTGGGAACTAAATTCAAGATTAGAATCTACTCAAACCACCCACTGAAATACGTACCAGTCAAACAAATTTTTCTCAAGTTTTAATGTGAAGCCAAGATTTTTAAATTAAGGGATCTACAAAAAATGTATATTAATAATAAGTATTTTCACCAAAATGTATTTTAATGTTATATTTTAGACGAAAACGTATACAAAAAAAAAAAAAAAAATAATCGAATAGGGACTGAAATAAGAATCATATTATGTTATGTTTAATGGCATAATTATTTACTACGTTTTTTTAATAATACAAGGAAATAAGTCAAATATTATATGAAACTATCAGGTTACCAGAATGTGTGGAAAATTTCAGACAGGCTATTCCGTCTCTGCTTGGACTTTACGTTGACGAAAATTAAAAGAATAACCAATTGCATATTTTTTACACATAATACACACAAACTATACGCTCTTTGTCTTTTTTTAGATTCTGAATACTTATAACGAAGAAATTATTCGTTTTACAATAATGTTGCGTTTTTTTCTTTTCTTGGGTAGCTATTTTTTAAATTTTTTTTGTTAATATTTCAACAAATAATTTATATATGGACGTTGATTATGGAATCCCAAATTAAGCTTCCACGAGCGAAAAACAAATGTTGCACATTCATTTGCCTGTACATAACTGTACTGACTATATTTTAATTTCACAAACTACACGATTAATCTTACATACGATATAATTATATTTGGACCGAACGTGATTATTTGTCATGGATTTTATCGATAACTCGCGATTGTCGGACGTTAAAATATGTTTTCAAAGGTTTAAGCCTAACTTAATTTTGTATACACTTTTGCTTAGCGTTTAAATTAATTAAAATTCGCCATTTTTTCTATTCACTAAAGTCCACTTGGACCCTATGTCCGGGTTTTGGAATTCCGTAAACATAATGTATTCTTATTCACTTTTAATAGGTATTAAAAATAGGTATTTGTGTATCACTGTGTGTATATAGAAATATATAATTATATATACATATATATTTTTTTTTTATTTCGTGGCTTAACTTTACTTTATTTCTAAATCCTTTTCATACATTGTCTGAACCAACAAATACAATTTTTAAACAGTCATCGTCTGTACAATAATAATATACGAGTTTATGTTATCCGTATACGATTTGAAAAGAAAAATACCCGTTTTTATTAACACGAAAAATGCGCACAGTCCAAAAATACATTTCTATACTTCATTATATTATTATTATCATCTAGTTCTTAACAAAATCCGTTTAATGTATCAGGACACAAATTTCTTTTTTTCTTTAATACTGTACATACAATAATATATGTACGTATATGATTATGTATAGATAGATAATAAAAAAAAAAAAAAACCGAAAACGAGTATAAGATAGTGTATAGAGTATTTATTTGCACAGGATATTATGGTATTCAAATTTTAGGTCGAGAAAAATGATAATGTAGCCAATATGTTTTAAGTATAGGTATAGTTTTTGCTAGAGACGATTATTAACCGAGAAGTGAAAAAGGTGTTTTTTGTTTATCCAATAATGCATTTTACGGAGATTTCGAAGACAAATGGTTTACGGAGGGTAGTGAGTGTTGTACAGGTCTAAAACATAAAAATTTGGTTTTCGGATCTGGGTTAAATGAAAAAACTTAAAAAAAGTCATACAATATTCTACTCGATAAACATTTGGTTACTCTAATATAAAAATATGTTTTATTTTTCTTTTTTACGTGCGTTTTAAATTAATCGGTTATGGTAGTAAATATATTACATTTTATTTTACTAGTTTACGGAACTCGAGTTGATTTTTATTATACAGTAACTATACTTACCAGAAAAATAATATTCAATAATGTTATGATAATAATATTGTTAACATGTCTAAAACCAGTATTACCTATAGATATAAGTTTTCCAGTATTTCTGATTATTTTAAACCAGTGTTGTAACAAGATACATCTTTTAATATTTTGATAAGGATTAGTGAAAATCGCTATTAAGACGAAGGCAAGCAATATAATACAATTATATAACAGTTCAATAATTTAGAGAAAGCTTATGACAAAGTGCAGAGAAAAGTTCTAATGTGGTTGTTAATGAGAAAAATAATTCTTTTTGAGGTTGTTTATTAGCTCGATAGAGAATACGCATGAAACTTCAAATACGAGTGTAAGAAGTGTAAGTGTCATTATGGAGGATTTGGGGGTTAGAGTAGATCTACTCATCATAGCATCAATGATCGGTCATGAGTCCTTATCTATTTTCTGTTGTTACGATACGAGTATTTGTAGATGATGTATGAAAATTAGGAAGAAGTTAAGAATAGGTTTGTGGAATAGAGGATAAGTAGAGGTAAAGCAGAGTATATAAAGTATGAGTTTTAAACAGATGTGGTAAAACGGCGGAAAAGGGTGAAGCAGAAATACCCCTCATTTAATCATTTTTCTTAGATATTTATAATTATATACAGTGATTTTTTAAAAATCCTCTGTGCTCACCCCATTTATATGGCCAAATTATACATAAATTTAAATTCTAATAATTGGAATTTTTAAGTGTAGTGCAAGACGATATTTTCGAATACTTAGATTTTTCAGAGTACTTAAAGAGTACCTATCCTGTGACAATACCAACTTTGGTTTTTCTAATGAGAATCTACATGTTTTAATACAAATTGTCAATATCAGAGGATTTGTCTGAAAATGTTGAATCGAAATTTTAAT